TGCGTCGCTCCGTGAAAGTTTCCGTCGATGTCGTCGTCGGCGCGAGCACGCCATATGGAACAATATCGGATGCTGTAAAATATGACGCTCGTGCATCGTTTATCCCGGCGCACCTCTGTGGGATGATCAATGGCCGGAAGAACGATCGCCGTTTGTGAGCAGAGAGAGGAAAAAAGAAGAAGCTCCGCGATCGCGCGTAACAAATTTTACGCGGGGTATTTTCTGAAGCTGACATTTTCGTTCACGTGAGGGCCCTCCATTCTTGGCCCTCAAAACCGCAACCGTCATAGTGGACACGATAAGAGTAGTTGATTAAGCAAAACACTATCGCGACGGAAGATTAGTCGTGGTAAGTGGTAAGTGTCATATCTTGCAGCTAGAATTTCAATAATATGACGTCAGTCGGAACCACCATGTCTCGTCAGTGCTTGCAGCACGTGTCTCGAGCGAATAACACGAATTTATGTGAAATAAATCGCGCACACAACTCCGCGCACTAGTCAGATAAATATCGCATTCATTATTTTTTATTTTCAAATTTAAAAGTGTGCAAAAATATAATATAATTTAAATTTAATATTTTTGAAATTATTCTTTTTATTTCATATATATTATTTTTTTTAACATCACTTTATATATTTCTCTTTCAACATTTCTTTTTTCTTGTAATTGGATTTATATGTGAAAACAGTAGTAGATTCATTATTATAGCACATCTTTATGAATTATTTAATAAAGGACGCATGAAAATGTCACTCGAGTAACGATGTGATATAACCCTTTCTCATCCGAAATAAAATATTTAAAACGGAGGCTGTGATGCGTCAGGGGCTCTTAGACGCGCCGCGAATACTTAGTACTTGAGGATTAATGAGACTCGCGTAAAGAATGTCCGGGATTTAATGCGTGGGGGGGGGAGGGGGAGGACGGCTCTCGACCTCCGATTCGACACGGAGATCGGTATCTCATCCGATGCGCGTAACGCGGAGCTGATTTATAAACGCCGGGCGTCGTTTCGATTGCCGTAACTCCATCGAGGGAACGTCACTGATCAGCGCCAGGCGGAAGCTCTGATTGACTTTCAGCCTTTCGTGCGTGCCTCCTGACATTGATTGACCGTACCGCATGAGAACTCGTCGTTCTGGCAACCACCACGATTACGGCATACGTAACGTCTACTCGAAAGCTCGAACGCCGCTCAAGTCTTATCTATCATTAGCCGCGTCGTTCCCGTTTGGCGTTTCACGACAGGCGCGGATTAGTTGATTATTTTATTTTTAACGCGGCGCTATTGTGTTTACAGTACGTATATATATATATATATATATATATATATA